TGTAATGCGTCGTACATGTGATCTTTGATTTCACGCGGCGATTTGAATTTGAGGTTTCTTACCTCAAATTCGGTACGAATATTAGGGCAACTAAAATGTAAAATAATACAGTATTAAAAGCCCCAGTCAACGATCATGAACATGACTCCAGACTCCAGGTAATTTAATATTTAAAGGTAAATTAAAAGGTTTGCAGACATAGTCTAGGCATATTAGGAAAGTTAGCAGAAAGTTTAGGTACAGTCCTAATCATCACTTTTCTCTATGTTTTTTGGGTCGCTGAACACGAATATGAGGTTTGCTGACGGATATTTTGCCCGGAACATTGGTTATTTTGCGAAAAACCTAAAAATGTTGGCACTTTTTTGGTTTTTTAGGCAAATCTCGGTAAGTATGGGTTTTTGAGAAAATCCTGCTTTGTAAAATTAAAGATGACAAAATTTACTACAAGTTTCCTACATAATGTTTGTTTCTACGACGAACCGTTTCGCCACTAGAGCACACTATAAAAGGCCAGAAGTAAAAAAAATTAAAAACATTGCTAAATGCTATAGGTAATGCTGCCGTTTTACATTACGTTTCCATGAAAACAACCCATGTTACGATAATTTTAACTATTTATTCATGATAACAAACTGAAACACACTTAAAAATACCCCCGGCGCAGCAAAATGCAGACTAAGCGAATTTCCATTTCCCTGATTGGATTTACACTAAAATGTCTCCTTAGAAATATCACATCTATTCCCTATTTAAATACAAGTTTAACGAGTACTTAGGTTTGCTGCAACAGGGAGGGTAAAAAGGTGTTTTTTGTAAAATGTAATAATTTAGTATGAAATGGATGCATTTTCCAAATTTGATCAAAATATGTTTATAAACAAGCAAACTACAACAGTTTACTTATTCTCCATAACAATTACATGGGCATTTTAAATTTACAGATTTTTGGAATTTTCTCCGTAACCATTAGGCGCATAACAACGCTTTAATATACTAAATTATTTGTTTTTTAAGCTCTACAAAATGGTATGAAAAGAAATCGCCAAATTTTAAGTTTATAGGGTCAAAAATAGGAAAACCCATTTTTTACCCCATAAACCCTGTTCCTATAGTCCGATCATGCTGGGCAAAACCAAAAATGAAAATAAACCCTAACCGTTTTACAAAGGTTTTACATTGGGTTTCCATGGAAACAACCCATGTTACGATAATTTGAACTATTTATTCATGATAATGAACTGAAACACACTTGATAAATCTATGCCAAGATGTATGACTGACTGCTGGAACATTTCCCGTTCCCACAAAACCCCCATTTATTTTCTCAGCACAGGGATGTTGCTGGCCACAGGGTTGACTGCTATAGTGATTGAGAAAAAAGGATGAAATACATTAAAAGAGTTGTAGATAACTTTTAACTTTGGTAACGTCAAATTCAGACGAGTAGACCGTGTCCAGCCACTTGCCAACGCGATGAAAGTAGAGAATTCTTACCCGTAAACCCCAACACATTGTTTCAACGTATCAGCATCGCTGAGAATTCTGATGAAGAACTAAAACACTTCTTGTCCTACAAACTGGGTCCATACTCTTTCTCGATGTTTGATAATAACGGTTTGCACAAAGAACCAAATCAAATCTTTAAAGGCCTAAAGCCCCTGTCCCCATTGAAAACAAGCACTTCCACGGTCAAGTGTAGTATGTTATTTTACAGTCAGTTGGCTGAGTGTGTGAGGGAAATGCGAGGCGGTTCTGCTCCCGGGTTCGATGAATTTCCAGCCAAAATACTAAAAATCATCTGCAAGACATTATACTACCTCTCAAACATCTTATTAACTTGAGTATTGCTTCAGGCATTTTTCCAAACAGGTTTAAAATAGCTAAGGTAATCCCCCTGTATAAGTCTGGGCAAAAAGATGACAAAAATAATTATAGACCAATCTCATTGTTAAGTGTATTATCTAAAGTGTTAGAGAAATGTGTCAAAATTCAACTCCAAAATTATTTGGATGAACATGGAATTTTATCAGAACAACAGTTTGGGTTTAGAAAAGGTAAAAATACTACTGATGCACTATTTCTTATCAATAAAACATTAATCGAGTCAGTGAATAGAAATGAAAAAATACTAATTGCATTCATAGATCTTGCTAAAGCGTTTGACTCTATTGATAGGAAAATTCTTTTCAAAAAGTTAGAATATTTGGGAGTAAGGGGTTTAGCCCTGGCATGGTTTAAAAGTTATTTAAGCAATAGGACTCAAGTAGTATCAATTAATAACGCAATTAGTGATCAAATGAATGTAGATTTTGGAATTATTCAAGGTTCTACAATGGGGCCCTTACTATTTTTAATTTACATTAATAACATAGATAAAATTGATATTTCTGGAAAAATATTCTGCAAAATAATGTGTATATATAAAGAATTTCTCTCTCTCTCTCTCTTATTGATGGTGGGTTCCTACTAGACAAAAGCTATGGCCAGAGCAGCAACCTTTCAACCATAAAAAACCAAGCATCAACCAAGAAAAACTTAATCGACAACATACTCACCACTCCTTGCCTTGCTATAAAGAAGAAAACTGTAGGCAGCTGAGAATATTCAAAGATAAACTTGGTCCTCAGTTTCTTACCCTTGAGGAAGCCTTAGAAGCGAATGAGGATGTGGAAGATGTTTTTTCTCTCATCTTGGGCCCATAAAAAAAAAAAAATGGATGGAATGCCAACCTTCAAACCTAAGAGAGTGAATTACATGATCCTACCAACCAACCTATTCATGAGGTTATTAACATTATAAAAAGAAAGATTGTCTCCATTTTCCACAATTTAATCCTAAAAGACGGGTATTTATTTCAGGTGGAGTTTTGTGGTCAGAAGACACACTAGTTAGTTTATTAGTGAATTTCTCCTATAGGGAATAAGCTATTACCGTAGTAGTCATGGTAAGACCTGGACCCGGGACCGATTTACTTTTTCGTTTTGAGGCCCCTAGAGACCAAAAACACCATCCGTTCAAATTCATATATGTGTCCGTTAGGGCGAGAACTCGAGCAAAAATCATCCGATTTTGATGAAAATTGGGATAAACGTGTAAACCTACATCTATTCGAACGAGTTCGCGAACCAGCATGATCGGACTATGGGAACAGGGATTTATGGGGGGTTTTATGGGGTAAAAATTGGGTTTTCCTACTTTTTACCCTATAAACTTAAAATTTAGCGATTTCATTCCATACCATTTTGTAGAGCTTAAAAAAACAAATAGTTTAGTATATTAAAGCGTTGTTATACACCTAATGGTTACGGAGAAAATTCCAAAAATCTGTAAATTTAAAGCCCATGTTATTCTTATGGAGACTAAGTAAACTGTTGTAGTTTGCTTGTTTATGAACATATCTTGATCAAATTTGGAAAATGCATCCATTTCATACTAAATTATTACATTTTACAAAAAAACACCTTTTTACCCTCCCTGTTGCAGCAAACCTAAGTACTCGTTAAACTTTTATTTAAATAGGAAATAAATGTGATATTTCTAAGGAGACATTTTAGTGTAAATCCAATCAGGGAAATGGAAAGTCGCTTGGTCTGCAGGTTTGCTGTGGCGGGTTTTTTTTAAGTGTGTTTCAGTTTGTTATCATGAATAAATAGTTAAAATTATCGTAACATGGGTTGTTTTCATGGAAACGTAATGTAAAACGGCAGCATTTAACAATGTTTTTAATTTTTTGTACTTCTGGCCTTTTTTAGTGTGCTCTAGTGGCGAAACGGTTCGTCGTAGAAACAGACATTATATAGGAAGCTAGTAGTAAATTTTGTCATCTTTAATTTTACAAATCAGGATTTTCTCCAATTTTTTAAAATACATTAGATGAACTCCAATTTTTCGGCCCCACTCGTCTCATGGGCCTCTTTGTTGGACAGTTTCTGCTTGCCGTTTTCACAGGCGCCCCCCCCCCCTGCATTGCTGGCCCTGCTGTTACGTTTGTTGTGCAGATAAAATATGTTCAAGTTAGTTACATACAAAATACTTTACACAAATAATAATGTAACATTTGAGCTAAAAGTGTCTTCAAATTCACAAAATTGACAGTTATGCCTAGTCTTGTGTGTCAACATTTATCCATTTCTATAAGTGCCACATTGGTAACTAGTTGCACAGACAACTATTATTGTTAAATTATTGGAAGATTCTCATATGCTATTATATTTAACCTGTAAGCTCTCTTGTTTTACAATTAAAATCCACGTGTGTAGCCCCTGAGCTGTTGGACATAATGTAAGACTTGGACTAAATTACTTACGCATTCTCGGCACAGCTCAATAAAATATGTCAATTCAGGACATGTTTCGGTGTTTAAAACACCATCGTCAGCTTCAGGTACATATGTAGAGTTGATCAGTAGTTAACATCGTCAGAAGATAAACACAGTATGAACACGAATAAATACATAAAACAATTAAGACATTTAAGAAACAGGCCTGTTCTAACTATTCGTGTTCGTACTGTGTTTCTCTTCTGACGATGTTAACTACTGATCAACTCTACATATGTACCTGAAGCTGACAATGGTGTTTTAACACCGAAACATGTCCTGAATTGACATATTTTAGTGACGAGAATACGTAAGTAACTTGGTCTTACATCTCTTGTTTTACTCTTTGTTAAAACTGCTCAAGTTAAGGCCCCACTGGGAAAACAGGCTGCAGGATCCATGACCTCAAATTGTAGATAGATTCACTGCCACATTCCATATGTTTTAGGTAAATAAACTGGCTGTTTCCGTCTGGCAACTTTAGTACAATTATCCACCACTGTGACGTAGAGTTGCGCTGCCGCATGGAATTTTTTCTAGTGGGGCCTTGCTCAAGTTTATAAGGGAATTAAAGAATTTCTTAAGGAATTAATTTTAATTTTCTTTCTTTTTTTCATAAATAAATTTTTACAAGGGAAAAGTTGTTCTTCATTAAAGGTTTTATTAAAATCATCAACAATTTGACAGTCCATATTTTAATAAATAAATACATCCTCTCTGTAAAATATAGAAATGCAGTGATACAAATAAGACAGTTTAATCTGATATAAAAGTTCAAGATACCAACATAATTAATCTTTTTGATGTTTGCCCTATACACAATAAGTGATTATCCTAGAATAGTACACAAGTATTAAGAACATTAATAATTCTAAAAATCTAATACAAAAAACTTATTGGAAAACAGTTAACAATTCAGTGAAACCAAATAACACATTTACTAGAAAACAAAAGTAACAAACCAAAACACACATTTTATATAATAAGAATTATCAGTCACTTCCCAATAAAATTGTTAGTACCTTACAGTTGTTTAGGATCCTTCACTTCCAAACAGCGCAGTATTAATTTATAGCAAAACCAGAATAAAATATGCAAAAACAATAATTAATAGATCTATCCTTCCTTGGATTTAAAAAATCATTTTATCAAAAGGCAATTTGGATAAAATAATGCAATAACCAAAATGATCTTTGAAATAAAATTGTTCTAGTTCTAGGTATAACTGACGAAAGGAAAATAATAACTCTTACTACTAAAATTCACTACCAACATATCAAATAGCACCTTATTAAAACATCTAAGTCAGTCTTTTTTAGCAATAACTGGTTTTAGTACATATGATACATAATAATAATGATATTATATAATAATCTTCAAGGCAGGAACATAAATAACGAAACAATTTACTTTTCTCTCCAGTTTTCATGTTCTCTTTCATCATTCCTAGGCCTTGCTCGCCACCCCCCTCTCTGCCTCCCTCCCCGCCCTCTGTTGAACCCTCCCCTTCGCACATCACCATCTGCTCCTTGATCTCTCTGATTGGCTCTTCTTTCATTGTCTTCATAGCTGGCTCTTGAATTGGCATTGGATTGGCCGCCTCTATAACCACCTCTGTGATAGTTGCTTCTGCCTCTATTTCCTGAGTAGTTACCCCTAAAGTGGCTTTTACCTCGGCTATTATGGTTCCAACTGGCTTCCATGTCTTTTGCAGCCTTTAACAATTTCGGTATGAGGTTTTCATCAGGAGTCTTTTCTATTAACTTTGGATCAACCTGAAGGATGAGTTCGAGAATGTCCTCCCCATATCCCTGGATCCCTGTTTGAGCCTCTGCACTGTCAGTCTTCTTTGCCAGCAACAATGCTTCGTTGGCAAGATATTCATTGAGATTGATAGGTTCAGACATTTTTAGGAAAAAACTTTTGAAACTCTGAAACAAGTAAATAAAACAATATTAAATTGTGAAAACTGAAAGCCTATGAGTGTAAATACAAATTTTTGATGCGGTGCACTAAAGTTTGAAGAGGTTTATGTTTCTAACGAGGTTGTTCAAAAAAAGTAATGACATGACATAATTTACGTAGTGATTCCTTGGGTAAAAGAAGCAAAAACTTTTATATATACGTGTCCGTCGTGTCCTATCTCGTTCTATTTAGCGTCTGTCTGTCTGTTCATAACTCTGTAACGGTTTAAGCCAAAGCTTTAAGATTCTACAAAAATGTTTACATTATTGGCCAATTGTTTTAAAACTACAACTTTTCAACAAATTTCACATAGAGAATAAGCATTTTAGGGAATAAGAAATTTTACTCGTATGCAGATTTTAACGATAACTTATAAGCTTAGTTTGGACAAAGAATAACTGAGAAATTCTTGCTACACCTACAGTTTTCTCCAGTAAACAATGTTGAATTGTATTGTATTGTAATCATTGAAACTACTTTGTAACATGGTTTGAATGGAGAAATCAATAGGTAGGCCTATATTCAAATTCAAATTATTCACTCATCACATCTTACAATGCACAAAGTACAAAGACTTGAGTGCCGTCACAATATAAACCAAACCTAAACTAAAACTAATAAAGTTAACAGAAGTGAAATATCTTATAAAATAAAAGACCTTGCTTATAATTAAAACTCCAGCAGTATAATTTACCTACCAATGATAAGCAACACCGTTTTTGTAAAAATTTGGGTTATTCGTGATTCAGCAGCGTGCTTTAGGTATGTCCAATCATTTACTGATAAGCATTATTAGTAACTCAAATGAAAGCTGGTATTTCACTGAAGGTTCTTAGATCAAAACAAATTTATGTTTATTTTTTGATTGAGTAATACAGTAAGTACCTTACTTGAACTTAACTGATTCAAGCAATTGAGTACAATGGTGCATTGTTTCCCATTTTGTTCAGCGCTTGGACTTAACCTAACCTAAAAACGTGTTGTATAGTGTTTGACTATTTATTTATATGCTTTATATTTTAATTTGTTATTTAACTGTAGGAAAAACATTATATGTAACGTGAGTGCAAAGCGGCTTTGCTGGACTCAACTTTTCACACTCGCCTACGGCTTGTGCGTAAACATTTCTTTCATGTGCAGCAAAGTGCCACTTCGCACAGATGATTTTGCAAACATTTTTATAAGGTTTAAGTTTTTTTTAGGTTTGGTTTTGAAATATCATTGACATAAGGAAATAAAGAATAAAAGTAACTTTTGACATCCAGTGATGGATTTACACATCCGTCTCAACTGCAAGTAGACAATGGCTCTGCATATTTCTTTAGCTGCCTTTGACATCGCTTGCACAATTCGCCTTATGTCACAATGGGTAGGTGTTATCAAAAGAGTAATGTCAACAATAGGCTTGCAACACATTCACCGGTTCCCGGTGTCGGTGCTTTTACTGAGGTGGTAAAGCATAGCATTAAAGTACCGACACATCACTAGTTTGCATGAATAGTTTTTAACTTTTTCTTTCAGCTCTGGGGAGCTCAGGAGAGAAGTGTTGTGGCTGCTACAACAGGTTACAGATTTAGATTCATAAAATTCTTATACAACCCATTTTTTTAATATACCTCAATTTTTATCTTGAACTTATCATTTAAAAACTTATGAAACAATAACCAGACCTCCTTTCTAACTAACGGTAGCCTGTTTATTATTTCCATCTCATTCTGTGTGCAAAGGTTGGAGTTGACAACACCTTGACCACAGGTCCTAGCTCTTTCTCAATTACCCATTATTACAGTATAATATTGCTAATAACCCTTTCCCTTTATCCATGCAATCCATATTTACTTACTGCCATTTGTGGGGATTTATTATCTTCAAGAAGGATTTGTTTAAAATACTCCGACGCTTTGTTAAAGTCTCGCTTTATCAACAAATGGTAACCGCCAAGTTGAGCCAACAGCTGATTGTGATCTTTTTTCTTCAACTTCCAAGACAAACCAAGCTGTAAGTCTGGGCAGGGATCATAATTGTCAGGGTCCAGCATCCATTTAACTCTAACCATATCAGATAGTCCTGCATGGCTCCCTGTTATGGCAGTCTTTTCAAAATACTCTAGAGCTTTTTTCTTATCCTGCAAAAAATATGCTCTTTTACAAACGTACAAACCAGAAAAACACAGAAGAGATACTTGGCAAAGTTACTGTTTAACTCAAAATCTATTTTGTATGATTTAACACTGAAAAATATACAACCTTTATTATCACATCATTGAAGACGTGATGTCACTGGTGCACTCGTCCTACCAGGAACAACTAAAAGTTGGCCTCCAATATTATCTTCATAAGGCCAAAATATTTATGATGCCTATACTGGGTGAATCACGTCAGGTGTCCACTTTTGAATTCAGACAAACTGTTTGATTCTACAGTGAAAAAATGAATTTGTTTTACCACTAAACAAACCACAGTGAACTTTAAAATATTTTGAATGTTTTTTTTAAAGTTTTTTTTAGCAAATTTCCCTATAGGGAAGTAGATATTACCGTAGGTGGCACGGAAAGACCTAGAGACGGGACCGATATAATTTTAGCGAATTTCCCATATAGGGAAGTAGATATTACCGTAGGTGGCACGGATAGACCTGGAGACGGGACCGATATAATTTTAGCGAATTTCCCATATAGGGAATAAGCTATTACCGTTGGTCTCATGGTAGGACCTAGACCCAGGACCATTCTACTTTTAGCGAATTTCCCTATAGGGAAGTAGCTATTACCGTAGGTCTCATGGTAAGACCTAAGCCCGGGACCGATTTACTTTTTCATTTTGATGTCCCCAGAGGCCAAAAACACCATTCGTTCAAATTTTTATATATCTATATATAGATATATATATATATATATATATATATGTGTCCATCCGCACGATAACTTGAGTAATTTTTGTCCAATTTTGATAAAATTTGGTTTGAAGGTGTAAGGCGGGATAAACTTGAATGAGTTCGCGAACCAGCATGATCGGACTATGGGAACGGGGGTTTATGGGGGGTTTTATGGGGTAAAAATAGGTTTTTCCATTTTTGACCCTAAAAACACAAAATTTCACAATTTCTTTTCAAACCATTTTGTAGAGCTTAAAAAAACAAATAATTTAGTATATTGAAGCGTTATTATGCGCCTAATTGTTACGGAGAAAATTCAAAAAAATTGTAATTTTAAAATTCTTATGTTATTCTTATGGAGAATAAGTCAACTGTTGTAGTTTGCTTGTTTATGGACATATTTTGATCAAATTTGGAAAATACATTAATTTCCTACTAAACCGCAGTACCTTTTAATATTTTACATAAAAAAACTTTTTTACCCTCCCTGTTGCAGCAAACCTAAGTACTCATTAAACTAATTCTGTTTAAATAGGGAATAAATGTGATATTTTTAAGGAGACATTTTAGTTTAAATCCAATCAGGCAAATGGAAATTCGCTAAGTCTGCAGGTTTGCTGCGGCGGGGGTATTTAATTTTTATGTCTCCAGAGGCCAAAAACACTATTTGTTCAAATCTTTGTATATGTATATATAATATAACTCTCCTCCACACATGGGTATCTAATATTAGCAGCGCTATTATATCTGTATCTTTATACATTGGTTATATTGTAAAGGTGAGGGTGGTTTGCAAATAAATGATTGCACTGTCCAACTTCTAGTTTAGCAATAGGTCTTCTTAGAAATACATCCCTGACATATCACCCTGCAAGCAGTTTAAAACAAAAAATGCATTGACAATAAAATTTGAGTGCATGAATAATAATGCAAGGCCTGTGGTAATGTCACCCTAGTAGAGCAATGTTTTCTATGGTTTTAGCGAATTTTCCATAGGGAATAAGCTATTACCCAGTGTTGGGTAAACTACTTTTAAAAAGTAGTTAGCTACAACTACAACTATTTTCTCTTAAAAAGAGCTAAACTACACTACAACTACTTTTTTTAAAAAGTAGCTAGCTACAACTACAACTACAAAAGAAAAGTAGCTAGCTACTTTTTCACTACTTTACAAAAAGTCATAAAAATATTTTTTGTCGTGTGGTTTGGACAAATATCCATCAAAACGCAAAAACGTTATGCGTACACACCAAGACACATTGACATCCATTTATATAATACCAATTTGAATATAGGCCACACTATTGTAGAATATATATGCACCTTAATGTAATGGGGGAATGTGCAGAACTACTAAAGAAAGAACCCATATTTTATGTATATTATGTAGATTACAATTTTATGTAGATTACAAATATATAAACATTATTATAGATAAAGTATAGTAACAAAAAGTTATAGGTGTAAAAGTGATTTTCTGTGCCATGTTTATGGTCAGAATCTGATAATAGGCTAATATAACATGTTTTATCTATGATATAACTTAGGCTAGTCTGAATCTGATGTTGGAGGTTCATTTATTTCTAAATCACTGTCTATTTCCACTTCATCAGGATGATCTAACTCATCAAACAATCACGAATGTTACTACTATCCATATTTAGGAATTAACATGACATCTAAAACAACAATCCACCATTTACAAGTGTTAGTAAACAAGCAACTGTCAACATCAACAAACAAAACATTGACAAAGTTTACAGCTGCGCTACGATCGCTACATACAGTTTAGTGGCTCGAGACAGACATTGGGAGAAAGCCCAACTTATTCCGTAAACGGTGATACAAATATCAATCAGGTCCCATTGCGTCGAATTGGATTTAGAACAAATTGAACGAAACACTGCGTGTTCGTCTACGCGTAGATGCTCGAAGCCCCACAGGGGGTTTTGTTCGTCTACGCGTAGACTCTCGACGCTCGGAGGGTTAAACTTGGTAAACACTTAACAAACAGTTATTGTAACGCAAAACAATGGCAAGAGATCGGAACAACTTAACCTCAAATAGTAAACTCCAAATCCAACTCAATCAATAATGTCTGTCGTCTGTCATTATTGCACCATTAACATGGTCGACGACTAGACTTCAGGCAGACGACAGAAAACGACAACCAAACGTTTTCAAGCGTACTGTAAGTTGTACTACTATACTGACTACTGACAGAGCACAGAGTAAACAATATTGGTGAAATTGTGTTTTCTTCGTATTTGGTCAATATTCAAAGTAGTGTGATTTGGTATTTCAAATAGGAAAAAAGAATTGGGAATTTCAATAGCATAGCAAAGTAGCGTGATTCACGCTATATATTAGTCTTAAAATGTAGCGACGCTACAATATTAGTTGCTACTTTGGAAAGTAGCGTCGTTACACTACAAACTACAAAAAAAGTAACGCGCTACAGTAGCGCGCTACAAGTAGCGCGCTACACCCCAACACTGCTATTACCGTAGTACTCACGGTAAGACCTGGACCCGGGACCGACTTACTTTTTTGTTTTGAGGTCCCCAGAGGCCAAAAACACCCTCCGTTCAAATTCACACACACACATATATATATATATATATATATACAGGGTGGTCGCGAATAACATTAAACTTTTTATTGGTATAAGAGGAGCATAAATGGAACTCGTAAACGTGGTTTAAAAAAATATATCTCATACACACCCCCAAAGATGACTTGTTTTAAGTTTTTTGAAAAAAATTGACATAATTGCAAAAATGTTGCATTTTTCGGGTTATTTTCAAACTTTCATCAACATTTAACAGTACCATCGCGTTCTCCATAAAATTTGGTATAAAAATACAAGTATTTCAACTTGCCTAAATCTGCATAGCTACTTATTAAATTGAATAGAAATAAAAATTTGTGTTTTTCAAAAAAATTTAAAAAAATACGTAAACATACAACTTTTTTCAAAAAAAGCTTTATAGAGCAGCAAATACTTTTAAAAACTGCACCATAATCTAAGCTTTCAAACAATACCATAAAACGTAATATTTGATCACGATAAATGTCCGCTATTCAAGTTTGAATGGCGTAAAACACAGGTTATCCATAACATTTTACTTTTAAAAACAGTTTCATGTATAATATTACAGCCTTGTTCAATATTATAAACTATTAAATTATAATGAACAGCTGGTGGCTCCAACAATTATCTGAGGTTTCTCTGTTGTGTATAAATCACGTGTTGATCAACATAGACGATTTTGAGTGGTTTTTAATAGTGGTCACAACATGTTTTCCAATCTTACTTGAAATACTTGAAATACTTACTTACTTACTTGAAATACTTGAGGTCTTCATCCTTGACCGACAATGTCGGATAGATTGCGTCAACTCATATGAGTTTGTCAATAAAAGCATATATTTACACTATTTACAATATATACATTATTTACATTTTACTGTGGCATGGCGGATATATTTTAGCTAGGATCTAAAGAGTGGTTCCTCAACGAGTTCTCCCAGCGAATACAGTGGCCTATCCACTAGGGCTCCATGAACAACCTTTTTAAATTTCGGCAGTTCCAATTTACGCACTCGAACTGGCAGAGTATTGAAAACCTTTATTGCAGAGCGGGGAAGGTTTTCAATACTCTGCCAGTTCGAGTGCGTAAATTGGAACTGCTAAATTGGAATCAAGAATATGCAGAAATGCATTTTGTGTATGGTTACTGCAACGGAAACTCAAGTGAGTCTCAACGAGAGTACTCACTTCGCTATCCTGATCGGCGCGTCTCGAGTACGCAAGTATTCACCAGACTTCACCAGCGTCTAGCAGAACGGGGAACTGTGCATCGAGAGAAGCCTGAGGTGGGCGGAGCACGGATGGAAGTCTACGTGGAGGAAGATATCCTGGAGCGCGTGGAGGAAGAGCCGGAGATCAGCAGTAGGAATCTTGCTAGGGCTACTGGTGTAAGTAAAACAACTGTCTTGAAAGTTTTGCAGAAAAATAACTTTCATCCCTATCACTTCACTAAGGTTCAAGGCCTTGAGCCTAACGATTACGTCCCTAGGGTAGACTTCTGTCGATACCTCCTGAACTGTGATATCGAAAAAAATAAATTTTTCAAGAAGATTTTGTGGACAGATGAAGCTCTGTTTATTAGACAAGGTGTGTTTAACTTCCACAACATTCATCTGTGGAAAACAGAAAACCTAAACGCACTAAGGGAGATGTCCATC